TTTTTGGTAAAAAAAAAGAGAGTAATGAGTCAACCTTTTTTTGTTGATGGATTGGGGCTAAGGCTATAAAGATATTAATAAATTACGATTTCATCTTCTCTGGTCTATGTTTCCGAAGTATGAAACTTAAAAGGTTTCCCGATGAATTTTAGATTTATTCCGATTCCAGTTTTTAATAATGAATTATGAATTAACCTCAAGTCAACGTGATGACTTCTTAGAATGTGAAGGTACGTTTTTAACCCAATTATGGCTGTTTTTCCCATGAAATCATTTAGGCAGATATGTGTCTCCACTCTCCAGTGATATGTAGACTTCGGTTAGTGTTTTTGGAGATATGTAAAGCTGGCTTCGGTTAGTGTTTTTCGTATGGACCCGCTTTGAATCCTTTGATGTTCAATATAATTAATATTCAGACGAAAAAAGGAGAAAGAAAAAAAGAGCTGGCAAACGAATTTACGAACATTATATTATTGGTTTACCTATAAATTTTCAGATAAAATAAAAGAAAACACCAACTACTGTATGATGATGGAACTTATGTATTACGGAGAATTGTATAAGAATTTTGAAAATAACGATGAAAAGAAAATAAAAAGAGTCACCAGTTTTGCAAGTTCGACAACAAACTAGTGATTACAACATGGTTTTATTGAATACATAACTCATCATCCCAGCTTATTCAAGAAGCAGTTTCGCCCTTCTCTAGACTCAACGAGGGAGAAACTGAGCAAAACCCTCACGCAAGTCGTCCTGGTCTCGGAATATGACACAAATCTGCAAAATAATCATGTCATCAGACTTAATATGAGAAGAATGCAAAATAAAGAGTTTAAATATGATACATAGATTAGCTATACGTATATACCTCATCGTACAGCTCTGCATGGTTTTTCTCGTACTCTGTATACATCTTCAATATTGCCAGAAATGATTTGTATGGACGATCATCATCCTCAAATCTTGCCTACATAATATAAACCATATATAAGAGAAAATTAACAAAAAATAAAGGGAATATTGTAATCTCCAGTAGGACCAGAATACAATAAGTGTTATTTGTTTGTGGTTTTTTATAACTTTATTGAACAAAAATAAATAAATCGTAAATTGAATTGTCTATCCATATTTTCTACCATGGGTGAATGCGTTTACCTTAACCTTGAAGACATAATCAATAGCGTCCGCAAATGTTACATCTTGACGTTGGAAACTCCCGAGTGATTTCATGGAACGCTTAGGCAAGAATTGGTTCAACCCCACAATCAGCTCTTCATGACCTTCAAAGAGTGTTCTCACTTGTGATCTGACAGAAATATGATCAATCCTACAATGAATATACCATCAAATATTTCAGCACCTCATAAATCATATGAGTGATTAGTATCATCAATCAATCGTAAACAAATATTAGAGGAAATTAATCGTTAAGATCGAAAATATACCTATTAGCCCTAAAGTCTTTCATGATCTTAAGAAATTCATCATATTTCTCACGGTTATTTTCAAATGTAGTTCTCACTGTCATGAGATATTCACGTCCACCCTTTGTTCCAAACATGCTTTCAAACTGCCTAGAAATTCATTAATTATTCAGAAAAGGAGAAAAATATATCAGTGAAAATTAATTAAGAACCACAACAAACAAATTCAAAACCTATATATTCAAAAAATAAAATTCAAAATCATTCCAAAATACGAAAAAAAAAACAAGTATCAGATCTAGTAACCAGAGGACAATCATAGGAAACTGCAATGAAATTTGAGGTTACCAACTAAACAATTTAAAGCTAGGTAAACCAAATATTATTTCACAATATATGGATACAATCTTTTGAAATAAATTTCAAGAGAAAAAACATAGGATAAAACTAAAGAAACTCATATCTTATTGTTATCAAATTTTACTAATACCTAAGTCATCTAGAGGGAAAAGATTCTCCTTACCTCCCAGGATTCAGGTAGATAAAACTTGAACAATTGCCTCAAAGATAGATGAGAGAAAGTATTGGTTTACATTACTAGAATGCACCTATAAATATATGTAAAATACAATTTTTTCCGGTAACATTTTCATTGTTTCACCCTTTTTGGCATTATACTCTTCTTGTTTGACTACTGCGTCTTTTTGTTTAGACAATACAACCTTCCATATAACCAAACAAATGAAAAATGTTAAATTAGCTAGTCATGAGAATAAGATAATATTTCAATTTCACATTAAATTGAATTGAAATATGTTGACTAGAAAAGAACTAAATTGAATATAAAATACTGTTAAAAGGAAGAAAATATAAATAAGGAAAATTAACATTGAATAAGAAAAACTGGTTTATTTCTGACCTGATTTTTTTGACATGGATATTCAATAACAAGAGAAATATCAGTCTATTCAATAGCACATTTTTATTAAAAGTTTACAAAAGTGAAGTCAAAGAAACTCTTAATCAAAAGTGACTGGAAATGTATCTCCGAATTAATCTCCTAACAAGATCGATGATCAGTCGATATATTAACGAAAGTTTCGTAAGTCGAATTAGTTTTAATCTTGGCTGAGTTTAAATTCTATCACTTCTATTATTCTATATACATTTCCTGTTCAAGATCAGATTTGGGATAGCTAGCTCATAATAGTATATATTATAAGAAACAAGAACTTAAAAAAAAGGAAAACTTAACGTTCTTGTATACAAACTCAAAGTGAAAAGGACGATTTTCTCTCCCAGACACGTTTAGCGAGAAAGGGTTTTAGTCAATTCCTGTCACTCTCCAAAACCCTTTTACCCGCAAGATATTTCCCAAACTAGGTGTTTTTCTCTTTTTACCTAGAGTCTTGGTTCTGTGTGCCCGGGTTCCACCCCCGACTTAGAGTCGGAGGGTCCTTACCGACGCCGAAACCATGCCTCCGTCGAAGCTCTACCGCCGTAACCTACAAGAATAAGGGTATGGTTCACATAAATAACTTCTTTAAACTCTAATCTACCTTAAGTTTCACTTGGGTATGTTTTGAAACGTTTTCAGAAACTACTCGGAAGTTTTTTCGAGAAATCTCTCACCCTAGTGGTGTTGAAAACTTATAAGCTACAGTCAAAAAACTCAAAGAAAAGCAATGACAAGGAAGTATACTCAAGCAGAAAAAGGGAAGAGCTTAGCACCTCCTACTGAACCACCTCGAGTTGGAAGAGTAAAAGTGCCGGAATTTGACAACTCAGCGTTGATGAAGCAACATCACCTGACAATTATTGGAAGGCTAACAAATCCCAAGATCCAGCGCTTGTGGTCTCTCCTGCCGTTCTTCTCTGAACACTGGAAGACAAGCTCCCCTGCAGTTGGAGCGGATCTGGTCAAGGAACATTTCAGTATACTTTTGCGACAAAAGAAGACATGCAGCTAGTTCTGGAAAATAGACCCTACCATTTTGCTCACTGGATGCTCCTGATCCTGCAATGGGAGCCGACAGTGTCCAGATCCTTCCCTTCTCTGATTCCTTTCACGATAAAGGTTCAAGGAGTCCCGGTTCACCTGTGGAGTGAAGCCATGTTAAGAAGCATTGGAGAAGATTTGGGTTCTTTTGAAAGCTGGGAAATAACGAAAGCTCATGCTAAGATGAGAGTCCACATCAATGGACTCCTACCTCTACTCAAAACCTACACTCTGGAATTCGCTAATGGAGATGAAGTAATAGCTAACCTGGTATACGAGAAACTGGAAAAGCACTGCAGTTATTGTTCAATGCTGGATCATGAGATAGAGGAGTGCCCAGAAATCACAAAAGGAAAGGAAGCAGCTGTACAATTACCTCCACCGCCTCAACCAAGGCGTCTTGAGGGATCCATCTACAACGTTCAGAGCTCAGGAAGCAAACGTAAGAGAGATGAAGTGATTTACCCATCTGGAAGAAGAGAGGACTATAATACCGGGGACCAAAGGGATCGAACTCGGAATGTCAATTTGGGTTCTCAAAGAGGCTTCTACTCTAGAGAATCGAGAGGGAGGTATTCTCAGTCAAGTAGAAGCAGACACTCTGACAATCAGGTGGAGTCGAGGGGAAACTTTGGTAGAATCCGGCCAGCGTTTCATGGGCTTGAGCAAAGGTGGGTGGAGACAGGACGTAGGATCTCAACATCCATCCTTGCAGAATCGGCAAGCAGAGAGAGAAGTCTGGGTTTAAGTCCTGAGAATATCAGGAGAAGTAGAAGCGGAGGGGATAGGATCTTACATCAGAGTCAAGGAAGATCTCCTGTTGAATCTTCACACTCTAGGAGATCAACTCGTATTGAAGAAGTACGAGCCCCAAGAACTGAGTTGCCCACTGAAGCTTTAAGGGAAGCGAGAGGGGAAGTTCGTGAAGTTATGGCCCAATACTCAAACTGTGCAGATCCTACAGAAAGTGCGGCAAGAAAAGAAAGAATGAGATTAGCGGAAGAAAGAGGAGAAGTGGAACAAACGGCAGAGCAAATGGTGAGACACTCTATCCGAGCTCAGACTCAAATACAGGAAGAGGAATACCTGGAACCTCTAATGCACGAAAGAATCCCTGCAACTCAAAGACTTGGACCAGTCTTGACTGAAATCCCTATTATGGAAGAACCTCCAAGAGTGCCGGCAAAGAAGCGCCTAGGTAGGCCACCTAATAAGAAGAAAACTCTGGCTTTAGCCCCACCAGAAAAAGTCTCAAGCTCAAAGAGTAGGAAAGTAGCATAGATCAAAATATCACCAAGGAGACGCTTTACAACCGGGAGCTCCTCCCGAAGAAAAAACCAAAGCGCTTCGGGTCCAGCTCAGTCTCATACCTCCCAGGACCCGGGCATCTTGTCAGAACCTCCTCGGTGTAACCTAATTCCGGCAACCTCTAGGAAGAAGATGGATTTTCAGAATCCGTCTTATCTTCCACCTTAAAAGTTCTAAGCTGGAATTGTCGTGGTTTGGGGAATCCCGCGGCAGTTCATAGTCTACAGGAAATCAAGAAGAAGTATGATTATCCTGAGATAATATTCCTCATGGAGACGAAAAATGAAAATATCTTCGTTCTCAAGGAGCTAAACCAGTTAAAATATGACCACATAGCAGTGGTGCCACCATACGCTCGTGGAGGGGGAGGCCTCGCCCTACTCTGGAGAAAAGGAATAGAGGTCAATATCCTTTATCAATGTGACAACTTCATAGATACTGAAGTAAAGTACAAAGGGGAAAGATTCCACACTACCTTTGTCTATGGAGATCCAGAAAAAGAAGGAAGAAAAGAGGTTTGGAATTCAATACAAAGAAGAGCTGAGAATCGTGACTCACCTTGGTTCCTTACGGGAGACTTTAACGAAATTATGGACAACTCCGAGAAGAGCGGAGGACCAGCTAGGGCAGAAGGCTCCTTTGTTGACTTCAGATCCTTCATGTCGACTTGTGAACTCTATGACTTGAGATTCTCTGGAAACTTCCTATCATGGAGAGGGCAAAGGCGCGATCATCTTGTGAGGTGTAGACTCGACAGAGCAATGGCAAACAGTGCTTGGATCGAGAATTACCCTTCTGGTAGAAGTGAGTATCTAAACTTTGAGGGGTCGGATCATAGACCCTTAATCTCCTTTTTTCAAGCTGTCAAGAAAAGGAAAAAAGGTCTCTTTAGTTATGACAGAAGATTAAGAAACAATGAAGAGGTTAAATTGTTGATTACCGAGAGTTGGAATACAAACCCTCGAGCAGATGTGGAGACACGAATTTCAAATTGTCGAAAAGCCATTATTCAGTGGCACCGAAGTCACCATCTCAATAGCCGGAAAATAATAGAGGAGAAGAAGAGCGAATTAGAGAGAGCTATGACCAGCAATGTCTTAAATGATACCTTAATCTTCCAGATTAACAAAGAACTCAAGGGAGCTTACGAAGCAGAAGAGGAATACTGGAGACAACGCAGTCGACAGATGTGGCTCAGTCTAGGTGACAAAAACAGCGGCTACTTTCACGCTGCAACCAGAGGAAGACGAGCAAGAAATAACATATCGGTTATTGAAGACGATGAAGGGAAGACTGTCTTTGAAGAGGCAAAAATAGCAGAAGTAAATACAAAATACTTTGAGAAAATGTTTACCTCTCAAGCAGGAGTAAGAGCAGAGACAGTAAACAAGAGCATAAAACCAAGCATCTCAGAAGAAACCAATATTCGTCTCATCCAGATACCAAGCGCTCAAGAGGTTAGGGCAGCAATCTTCTCAATTCATCCAGACAAGGCCCTGGGACCGAATGGTTTCTCAGCTAGCTTCTTCCACTCCAATTGGGAAACCATCGGAGAAAGAATCACACTAGAAATTCAGGAAGTCTTCAGATCAGGAACCTTCCCTCAAAACATCAACGCCACTCACATCTGCCTCATTCCAAAGATTACAAATCCCAAATCAGTGGCAGACTATAGGCCAATAGCCCTTTACAATGTTTATTATAAAATCTTCTCGAAGATTCTTACCGCAAGACTACATCCAATTCTAGATGGCATCATCTCCGAGAATCAATCAGCCTTTGTTCCCGGACGAGCTATCACAGACAACGTGATGATCACTCACGAGATTCTCCACTTCCTGAAAATTTCAAAAGCAAACAAGAGGGGATCAATGGCAATGAAAACGGACATGACAAAGGCGTATGACCGAGTAGAGTGGGAGTTCATTAGACTAGTGCTGGAAAGGATGGGCTTTCACACTAAGCTAATTGGGTGGATTATGCAATGGGTAACTTCGATTACCTTCAAGTTCCTGCTTAATGGATCCGCGATAGGCAACGTCACACCATCAAGAGGAATCCGGCAAGGAGATCCGTTGTCGCCGTATCTCTTCATACTATGCAGTGAGGTCTTATCTGGTTTATGCAAGAAAGCCCAAGAAAATGGTCAACTAACAGGCATAAGAGTGGCAAATGGAAGCCCGAAAGTAAACCACTTACTTTTCGCGGATGATACGATGTTCTTCTGTAAATCCAATGAGAAGACTTGTAAGGCACTAAAGGAAATCCTGCGTCAATACGAAGAAGCATCAGGACAAATGATAAGTTGTCAAAAGTCGGCAATTACTTTCTCCAAAAAGACCTCGGGTGATATCAAAAGGAAAGCAATGAGCATTCTAGGAATCAGCAAAGAAGGAGGAAAAGGGAAATACCTAGGACTTCCTGAAGCTTTTGGGAGGAAAAAGAAAGACCTTTTCAGTGCAGTAGTAGACAAAATCAGACAAAGAGCAGTGTCTTGGTCTTCAAAGCTCCTGTCTGGGGCAGGGAAACTAGTCCTACTTAAATCAGTGCTCTCCTCCATGCCTACATATTCGATGTCATGCTTCAAAATCCCTATAAGTCTCAGCAAAAGGATTCAATCAGTTTTAACAAGATTTTGGTGGGATGCGAACCCGGAGAAAAAGAAGATGTGTTGGATAGCTTGGCACAAACTTACCCGGGGGAAAAGAGAAGGAGGATTGGGAATTCGTGACATCCAAGACTTCAATGATACACTTCTCAGCAAGCTAAGTTGGCGAATTCTCACAAATCCAGAGTGCCTTCTAGCTCGAATTCTGAAAGGAAAATACTTCCCGAATCAGTCTTTTCTAGATTGTGATAGGATGGAAGGAGGATCGCATGGCTGGAAAGGAATTCTGATAGGGCAAAATCTACTAAAAGAAAAGCTGGGGAAGATAATCGGAAATGGAGGAAACACTAGGGTATGGGACGACCCATGGCTATCTACAACGGAACCTAGAGCTCCTATGGGTCCAGCGCCTCGAGACTTTAAAGACCTAAAAGTCTAAGAGCTTTTCCTACCAAACTCAAGGATTTGGGATAAGAACCTAATACGTTTAATACTCCCAGAGTATGAGAAAGAGATCCTAGGAATTATACCTGGTGAATTCGCGACTGAAGATCGTTTAGCGTGGCTTCCTAAGGCTGATGGAGAATACTCGGTCAAAACAGGTTATCACACGTCAAGAGCACGGAAACCAGAAGAAGTCATCCCTGGAGCAGCAAATGGCAACTTTGATTGGGTTACGGATGTTTGGAAAGGGCTTTATGGCCCAAAACTAAAGATATTCCTATGGAAGTCAGTCCAGGGAGCCTTATCAGTAGGAGAAAACCTAGCAGCAAGAGGAATGAGCGTTCAATCAAAGTGTGTGCATTGCGGTGGATCAGAGTCGACAATCCATCTGTTGTTTCATTGTAGGTTCGCTCAAGCGGTCTGGAGCAGAGCACCTTTCTGAGAACCTTTCAATCCGCTCACAATCTTAAGCACCAAAGAGGGAATTGCAAAGCTGAAGACAATCGTATGCTTACCACCAATAGGTGTAAAAGGTGATTCTCTAGCACCATGGATCCTCTGGAGCATCTGGTTGAGTAAAAACAACAAGATCTTCTCTCATAGCAGTCTGAATGCCCTCGGAACGCTGAATCTAGCAATTATCCGAGCAAGGGAGTGGTTACAAGCTCAATTGGAAATCTCGAAACCGATCAAACCTCTCAGGTCGGCGCGAGCAGAAATCCCAAGGGATCATTTCCGGTGTCACACGGATGGAGCGTGGAATGGCGAGCATAGATCAGGAGGTTTGGGTTGGATCTTCCAGAACAGAAACCTAGATCTACTCAGCCAGGGCTCAAAAGCGCTGGAGAACGTCGCTTCACCTTTAATTTCAGAGGCCTTAGCAATCCGTGAGGCTCTTCGTCATGCGATAGATCTCGGCTTCTCAAGGCTGCATGTGGCTTCAGACTCTCAGATTCTCATCTCCGCAATCAATTCGAAGACCAGACTGTCGGAAGTCTTTGGAATTCTCCAAGACATCTCTCATCTATCCTCTCGATTTCAATCTGTATTTTTCGTTTCAATTCCTAGGGCTGCAAATGTTTTGGCAGACTCCCTAGCAAAACGATCACTTCAAAACTTTTTCGTGAGAGAGTAAGGGGTTTTTTAATGAAATGGTTTTTCGAACAAAAAAAAGAACTTAAAAAAAGGAATGAACTGGTGAACTAGGTCAAACATTAACGCAGCTTGCGTGGTTCCCAAACAAAGTCGCTTTCATCTCGGATCCTGGTTCGAACCTCAAGGTGACTTCATTGCACGCATAACTCATTAGTCCTGTCGATTTTTCTCTGCAATCCGTAAGAGAAACCCGCGATCCAAACCGCACTTCCTTCTTCTCTTTCATATCTTCCATCATGTCTTTACCAATCGAATCGCTGATATTTTTTCCCTAGGTCTCCCAACTTGTCACCAAAACTCATAAAGGTGTTGAAATCAGAGAAATCTCGGGTATTCAAGTCCAAAGTAGGTAGCCAAATCCAGAGATGCCTCCATCTAGTAGATAAAACGCTCGACTGGACAGCTTCCTTCGTGGATAGAAGAGAAACTATCTTACATATCATATCATCTGGTAATTGGCTTATACTATTCATATCTTCCTTCGACACCTCTTTTGAACGAGCTTGTTTTTGCTTTCCTCTACCAGTTTTTTTTGTTTTCTTCCGTCATTGTATTCTTCAAAAGAAAAAGAAAAAGAAAAAATTGAATACGCAAGTTTCAGAGAGACGATTGGGAGACCTAGGTATTACAGAGACATAGCTTGCGACCAACGTAATTAATCAGTAGTATCGGAAAACAGAGTAAAACAAAGAAAAAAAAGCCCTAGATTAGTAATATCAGATATTCCACAAATTCTAGCGCACACGTAAAGAGAAGAACCGAAGATCGATAGCAACTAGCTAGAGAGGCGAATCCTTAGGTTTGTAATCGTGAGCGTGACGATTGTATTTATAGTGATTTTGGGCCTAGCGTAGAGTTATAGTGAGCCCATTAGTCTATCACGAATCTTGTATATTAGAAGTCAAAACGTTGGAAATTTAGAGTTGTGTAATACTCCCTTTGTCCTATATTATAAGCTGTTATGGAAAAAAAAATTGTCTCAAATTATAAGCTATTTTCTAAAACCAATGCACTTATTACTTTATTGAATGTTGTGTGTCCAATTATATTTTGTAGTCTTTTTTCATGATTGATTGAGTTATATTTTATTTATATATTAAGTAATACTTTACTTTTAAAAACTAAATTTCTTGGTTTTTGTGTTTTACCTTAAACAGCTTATATAATGGGACAGAGGGAATAATGATGATGATAAAATAATGTTGTCAAAGTGACTGTAGATAGTTTTTTATTCTCTGTAATAATGATTTTATATCTAGAAAATCAAACTAACAAAATAATCACCATTAGATTTAAACACACTTTGGTGGGGGAGCTGGTAGGAAACGAGGACTAGGTCAAAAATTGACGCAGCTTGCGTGGTTCCCAAACAAAGTCGCTTTCCTCTCGGATCCTGGTTCGAACCGCAAGGTGACTTCATCGCACGCATAACTCATGATTCCTGTCGTTTTTTCTCAACAATCCGTAAGAGAAAACTGCGATCCAAAACGCACTTCCTTCTTCTCTTTCATATCTTTCATCATGTCTTTACCAATCCATCCGTCGATATTTTCTTCAGAGCCATGCGCCGAAACCTTAAGAACCTGAGGTTCGTAGTACTTGAGATTGTTGTACCTGATTATTATATACAGAAGATTCGATTAGTTTTTCTTTCTTCTTTCTTCCTTCCGATAAATATGAATAAAAAGGAATATAATAAATTGCTTACTTTTGTGGGGATGAGGCAGCAAGAGTAACATTCTTGTAAAGAAAGGATGCTTGAAGTTCTCCTTGAAGACATATATAAAAACCAGGAATATTGTAAGGGATACGTATCGACAAATCCCACTCTGCACTAAGACGAGTTTCTGTGATGTTAAACGCCGTGAAATCCATATTAGCTAATTCTATCTTCGGCACCGGATCGTCGCGAGATGAGTCTTTGATCGCTAGAATGATACCATAAACTCCACAACCAAGAAGACCCGCTCCGATACAAACGATACAAAGAAGAATGAAGCAAAGGCCGACACGCTTCAATATTGTAGTTAGCCGGTTGTCATTGTTGTTGCCCATTCTATACATTGGTTGAAAAGAGAAGAGAAGATTTTGTGGAGCTCTAACAAGAAGATTGATGAGAGAGTTCGATAATGTTATAGATCGTAACTAGTTCTGTCAGAGAAATAGTTCGATGAAGAAGATAATTTCTCTGTATTGATTTTAGTTAGGGCACAAGCAATCATCATCATTTATAGAAGCTTATGATGATTCTAGAATTTCAACTAGATACAAGAGAAAAGGATATTCAAGGTAGATAAGGAAATTCAACAAATTGATATTTAATCATTTCCTTATACCAGGAAAAAAAAAAAGGAATATCGTTTTATTTACATTTTCTAATAAAAAATTATCTATGATTTATATTTTTTGTTTATTGTAATATAACGACGTTACTGAGATTGGCCAAAGAATTACAAACGATGTTAGCTAGTAATAAGTTCCCTCAACTCTTTAGTCTTTACCATCCAGAGGACGTCGACTTCACATCTGGTAGAGGTTATTGGGATTTCTTGAGGACAGTCGAATTCTTTAGGAATTACTCAACAAACTCAAGAGATGATAGCAAACACTCTGGCACAGATGAAAAACTGATTTGATTCATCTCCTCCTAAGGTAGCTCACGGGTCACGAAGACCTTCCTGTTCTTGAGGACAAAAAAAGAGAGGAGAGAAAACACAATGAAATGTTATGCCAGAAACTTCATTGAGATGAGAAAAATATATCTTTATATTTGGCTTTATAGCAACTTCCTCACCAAGATGAGGGATTTTAGATTTGGGCAGGTTTCAAGAAATGTTCAAAACCATCTCATATGGGTGTCCAGAGAGGAACGCACAAGCGAGACATGAAACAAAATTGAGGCAGCGGTTCTAGTTCTGAGTATCCACAGATATTTTATATACAGAGCCAAAAAGTAGAATGTGGCACGATGAGATAAGTTTCTCCAAAGTGGCTTCACTGCGGTATAATATCTCATCCAAATGCATATATTCTTCAGACAAGGTAAGACAACAGACACCGCATCATCCAAGATCACATCAGAGAGACTTAAGAGCGTACCAGTGTCTCACAGCTAAACAACAACCCTAGGAGATTAAACTCTCCGGTGCAATGAAAATATTGGATCTTACGTTTAACTGCAGCATCAATCCATTACGTGAAATAAGATTCATGATCCACGTTCCATGGAATACTACTAAGAGATAACTTGAGTTCGTGTATGCAGGAAACCCTATCAGAATCCAAATGTCACCAAAACTCATAAGGGTATTTGAAATGTTAGAAACCTCGGGTATTCAAATCCAAGATATATGTTCCCAACTTCCCATGGCCTTGCTAAGTTCAGTTCAACACATTCATGTAATAACTTTAGTTCGCAAATATGTAACTATATATTTTAGGGTTTAGTGGAGAATATTTTGTATTTGATGGATTGGTGTTAATGAATGATATTAACGTTTATTCCATTCCATCTTTATATTATAGTGTCCCTCTTCAATCTTCATTCCTTTTTGTTCTCCATTCCAGAATTGTTGCTCAAGTGGGTCTCCTTGAGCCTAAATGTCAGGATTACAACTATAAAATTTAGAGGCTGATGGAGTCAAACTTTTTTTTTTGGTCAAAAAAAAGGAGAGTAATGAGTCAACCTTTTTTATTTGATGGATTGGGGCTAAGGCTATAACGTGTCCAGTTTTGATTTAACCATGAGCTTTGTCATAAACATTTTCTAAGATATTCAAAAATTCATCTTATTCAATATATGAAATTTCCTAAGTATGAAACTTGAAAGGGTTCCCGATTAAAGATTCATTCCCATTCCAGTTTTTAATAACGAATTATGAATTAACCTCAACGTGACTGGTACTTTTTCAAGTTTCAAGTAGTAACCCAATTATGAACCCGCTGTGAATCCTTTGATGCTCAATAATCAATATAATTATATTCGGACGAAAAAAAGAGAAATCAAAAAGAGCTGGCAAACGAAGAACATTATATTATTGGTACACCTATAAATTTTCAGATAAAAATAAAAGAAAACAACAACTACTGTATGATGATGGAACTGATGTATTGCGCAGAATTGTATAAGAAATTTGAAAATAACGATGAAAACAAAATAAAAAGAGTCACCAGTTTTGCAAGTTCAACAACAAACTAGTGATTACAACATGGTTTTATTGAATACATAACTCATCATCCCAGCTTATTCAAGAAGCACTTTCCCCTTCTCTAGAGTACATTGAGGGCGAAACTGATCAAATTCCTCACGCAAGTCGTGATGGTCTCGGAGTATGACACACACCTGCAAAACAATAATGTAATCAAACTTAATATGAGAAGAATGAAAAAGAAAGAGTTTAAATATGATACATAAATTATTTATACACATATACGGTATACATATATACCTCTTCATAGTTTTTCTCGTTAAGTGTATACATCTTCAATGTTGCCAGAAATGATTTGTATCGATCATCATCCTGAAATCTTGCCTACAAATAAACGATTTATAAGAGAATACAATAGGTGTTGTTTGTTTGTGGTTTTTTACAACTTTATTGAACAAAAATAAATAAATCGTAAACTGAATTGTCTATCCATATTTTCTACCATGGGTGAATGCGTTTACCTTAACCTTGGTCATAAAATTAATAGCTTTTGAATATTTCAAGAATTCGTCCAACCCCACAATCAGCTCTTCATGGCTTTCAAAGAGTATTATCACTTGTGATCTGACAGAAATATGATCAATCCTACAATGAAAATACCATAGAATATCTCAGCACCTCATAACTCATAAGAGTGATTAGCATGTGGGCACTAATTGAACAAATCTAAGAGGGAAATTAATCGTTAAGATCGAAAATATACCTTTTAGCCTTAAAGTCTTTCATGATGTTAAGAAATTCATCATATATCTCACAATTATTTTCAAATGTAGTTCTCACTGTCGTGAGATAGTCACGTGCACCCCTTGTTGACATGGCTTCAAACTGCCTAAAAATTCATTAATTTATTCATAAAAAAAAGAGAAAAATATATCAGTGAAAATAAGAACCACAACAAACAAATTCAAAACCATATATATTCCTTTTTGATAAATAAAAACCTATATATTCATAAATCAAACTCGAAATCATTCCAAAATACGAAGAAAACCAAACAAGTATCAGATCTAGTAACCAGAGAACAATCATAGGAAATTGCAATGAAATTTAAGGTTACCAACCAAACAATTCAAACCTAGCTTAATCTAAATATTATTTCACAATATAAGAATACAACGCTGAAAATAAAATTCAAGAGAAAAACAATAGGATATAACTGAAGAAAATTACTGTTATCAAGTTTTACTAATACCTAAGTCATCTAGAGGGAAAAGTTTCTCCTTACCTCCCAAGATTCAGGTAGATAAAACTTGAACAATTTCCTCAAAGATAGATGAGAGAAAGTATTGCTTTTACATTATTTAGAGAAGCCTATAAATAGATGTAAAATACAATTTGTTTTGGTAACATTTTCATTGTTTCTCCCTTTTTGGCATTATTCTCTTCTTGTTTGACTACTCTGTGACATTTTTTCTTTACAATAAAACCTTCTATAATCTTAACAAAGTACAAATAGGCTAGTTTTATGGGCCAACCAATTTGATATTACAAACTTAGCATGTTATAATTTTTATTTCTAAAAAAAATATTTTAATTTAACCTATTGTAAAAAATTGAACTATAATATATCTTAAACTTTTATATGTATGTGATTAAATATTAAATATTTAAAAACTGAAATTTTGCAGCAAACATTTTTATCTATAAAAAAGGTTTAAACCAATCGAATTTTTATCATCTTTATTTAATGCTTCTAAACCTTATATCTTTATGTATTAATAAATGTATGGCCCTGATATATTTAAATACTTAAATTTACAATTATAGTTTTAATTTTAATCGGGTACAAAATCTTGACCAACCCGGTCAATTTTGTCAGGGAGTGTCTTAATACTCCCGAAAATCCCATCTATAATAAATGGGAAAAAAAAGACTAATACAAATGTTAATTAGTTACGAGAATAGGATAATCTATTAATTTCACATTAAATTGAATTTGATTATGTTGACCAGAAAATAATTAATTTGAATATTAAAAGCAGTTAAAAGGAAGAAAAATATAAAAAGGAAAGTTAATACTATTGAATAAGAAAAACTTGTTTATTTCTGACCTGATTTTTATGATAATGGATATACAATAATTCAACACCTTATCACTTATTCTATATAAATAATATTATCAGCATATTTACTGGCACATTTTTATTCAACGTTTACAAAAGTGAACTTGAGGAAACTCTTAATCAAAATGAAAAAGTTGTGATAACTCCTTTGACTCCAAGGCAAACATTTAATTTGTACGAAAAAATGGACTGGTTTCATAGATTTGCAACTTGGTTTTACTAGCTTCTATTGTTGGAATATACTGTGTTTTGTGGTCCTCGATTGTCTTGAAGCTAACTCAACCAGGACAATCTTGTCAACGGCACTTACAAATAATAACAATACATAACGAAAAGAAAAGTATTCTCCCAAAAAAACGAATGAAATGAGAAGGAGCAAGCATCGAACACGAAAATTCTTCATTGTTCACCTAATCTCAGGGAGAAAATGAGAGAAATCAACAAGCAAATCGTGATGGTCCCGGAAAAGGATAGCCACCTACAATATAAACATATATCAAACCAAGACAAAAAGGGCAACCAGAACAATGAAAAACATTATACCGAAAGTGGCTAGAAACATACCTCCTCGCAGACTTCAGCAATGGACTTTTTCTGTTGTTTATACGTGTCCAGCATGTGTACAAATGATCTGTATACACGATCATCGTCCACAAATCTTGTCTGCCAAAAAACAAAAAAAAACTTAAGTAGGCTAGCCAAGTGAAAAAGGAGAAATATGAATCATACTTGGATTAGTTGCATCAAAATCTCTACCCTGATCTTTTTGGGAAAATCTATACATTCCTCTAAC